ATAGAAATGATGCTGGCAATTGCATGATATAATTTTGCAAGACTAATCATATCTTTTTAAAACAACAAAAGAGGACCTCACCAGATGGAATACACAGAAATCAGATTGACTCCACCTGTGGGAAAAGACAATGGGAAAGCTCAATATTACCAGCCAAAATGAGGCCGGGGCAGACTCTGGAACAGACCATCAATTGCTCATATGCAAGTTCAGGCTAATGCTGAAGAAAATTAAAACAAGTTCATTATAGCCAAAGTATGACTGTGATATAGCCCACCTGAATTTAGAGACCATCTGAAGATCAGATTTGATGCATTGACAGTAATGAATGAAGACCAGAGAAGTTGTGGGATGATATCAAGAACATCGTGCAGGAAGAAAGCAAAAGGTTGTTAAGAAGACAGGAAAGAAAGAAAAGAACAAAATGGCTGTCAGAAGAGACTCTGAAACTTGCTCTTGAATGTAGAGAAGCTAAAGTGAGTGAAAGAAATAAGGAAGTGAAGGAGCTGAACCGAAAATTTCAAAGGGCAGTTCAAAAAACAAAGTCAAGTATTATAATGAAATGTGCATAGATCAGGAGTTAATAAATCAAATGGGAAGAATATGCTCAGCACATCTCAGACTAAAAAAAACTCAAGACAAAATCCAAGCCTCAACTTGTAATATTGAAGGATTCTATGGACAAAATGTTGAATGATGAAGACAGCATCAACAGAAGATGGGAGGTATATACCAAAGGTATGCAGTCGCAGTACAAAAAAAGAAATGGTCAATGTTCAACCATTTCAAGAGGTAGTTTATAATCAAGAAATATTGGTGCAGAAGGAAGATGTCCAAGCTGCACTGAAGGCATTGGCGAAAACCAAGGCCTCAGAAATTGACGGAATACAAATTAAAACCTTTCCGCAAACTGATGCTGTATTCAAGGTGCTCACTCATCAGTGCCAAGAAATTTGGAAGACCATGACTTGGTCCACACATTGGAAGATATCCATATTTGTGCACATTCCAAAAATCATCTGACAATATCATTGATACCACATGGAAGTAAAATTTTGCTGAAGATAATTTAAAAATGGCTGCAATAGTGTATTGACAAGGAACTGCCAGAAATTCAAGTTACATTCAGAAGAAGACATGGACTTGAAATATCATTGCTGATGTCTGATAGATCTTGGCTGAAAGCAGAGAATACTAGAAAGATGTTTACTTGTGCTTTCTTGATTATTCAGAGGTCTTTGTGTAAATCATGACAAATTATGGATTATATTGTGAAGAATGGATATTCCAGAACACTTTATTGTGCTCATAAGGAAACTGTACAAAGACCAAGAGGCAGTTGTTACTGCAGAACAAGGAGCTACTGAATGGTTTAAAATGAGGAAAGGTGTGTGCCAGAATTGTATCCTTTCACTACACTTAATTAATTTGTGTAGTGAACAAATAATCTGAGAAACTGGATTATATCAAGAGGAATGTGGCATCCGGATTAGAGGAAGAAATCATTAACAACCTGTGATATGCAGATAATATAAACCTGATTACTGGAAGGAAAGATGATTTAAAATAATTATTGATGAAGATCGAAGACTACAGCCTTCAGTATGGATTGTGCCTCAAGGTAAAGAAAACAGAAGTCCTCACAACTTGACCAATCAGTAATGCCATGATAAGTGGAGGAAGGATTGAAGTTGTCAAATGCTTTGCTTGGATCCACAACCAACACTCATGGAAGCAGCAGCCAAGAAATTAAAGGTTATAATGCATTAGACAAATCTGCTATATAAGACCTCTTTAAAATGTTCAAGAGCAAAGAGAGCAGTTTGAGGACTAAAGTTCACCTGACCCAAGCCTTGGTATTTTCAATTGCTTCATATTCTTGTGAAAGTTTGACAGTGAATAAGACAGACCATTGAATAATTGACGCATTTAAATTATGGTGTTGGCGAAGCATACTAAAAGTATCATGGGCTACCAGATGAATAAACAAATCTGTGTTGTACAAAGGTCAGCTAGAATGTTCCTTAGAAACCAGAAGGGTGAGACTTTGTCTTTCATACTTTGGACATGTTATTAGGACAGTCCATTACGTGGAGAAAGACGTCTTGCTTGGTAAAGTGGAGGGTCAGTAAAAAGAAGAATTCCACCAAGGAGGACTGACGCAGTGACCGCAGCAATGGGCTCAAACGTAACAATTGTAAGGATGGGGCAGGACCTCACAGTGTTTTATTCTGTTGTATGCATGGTTACTCTAAGTCAGAACTGACTCGCTGGCACCTAAAAACAACCCCATGAGTCAGAATTGACTAGGTGGCAATGAGATTTTGGGGGTCATATGGTACTCCTGGGGCTCTGGAGGCAGGGATGGAGGGACCACTGGATGGACCCCTCCTGAGGACTACATTGAGACTGTGTACGGGTGGGGGCTTCCAAAAAGAGAGCACTGATAAACAAAAACAGCTTGTTCATTATCCCTGGAAAGTGTTGGCAGTAGGGGCCCTGGTGTCTGGGTCCCATCACCAGTATGGTAGGAGACTTGACAGAGAACCTCCATCCACAGGGGTGTTTTCTCCCTAACCACATTGTGTCTTCTCTTTCCTCAGGTTCCACCCCCAAGGAGAGCCGTGAGTATCCACTCAGCCCCCACATTTTCCCAGGGTGAAGAGATGCCCCAGGGTCTCTATTACTGGGTCTACACAGTCATCTCCTCGTGTGGCCCATAATGCTTCTGGAAGCACCAGAGCCCTGTGGCAGGGTAACCCCATCCAACCATTCAGACTGCCCACCTTCCCCTGCTTGCCCCACCCCACTGTCTCTTCTGGCCCTACCCTCTGCCTCCCCCATCACAGCCCCTCCCCAGCTCTTCTCTCTCTGGTTCCCCCACCTGGTAACTGTCCCCAGAATAAGGGTTGTGCCTATGGTTACAGTCACCCCTGGCTTGGCTTATTGCTCCTGCTCCAAATTACTAGGACCCATGCCAGGCACTACAGGGGCCCCAAGGCAAACAGAGAATGCTGGTTGTCTGCTGGGGTAGAAGTACCAAGTGTCCCAGGAAGGGTGGGGAGGGGCGAGCTTTTAGTGGTATGAGTCAGTGAAACTGTGCCTTGGAGAATGAACTGGATGGAGCTGAGGCCTGGAGGCAAGATCATGCCGGCCCCAGTGGAGACCTTGGCTGGAGAGTCAGGGGCAGTAAGTAATAGGAGGTAGGCTAGAGCCCAGAGGGCAGAAATGCTGAGGCTCTGAAAGTCCTGCAGGTGCCTACACAGGGCTTCAGTAAGGCTCTGAAGTTGCTGAGATGCTGGGAGTTAGGGTCGCAATGAAGCTGATGGAGTAACAGATATTGTGCCTCTATGTGCCAGACACTTTCCAGGACTTTATGGGTCTCTCATGTAAGCTTTGCAGCAACACTACGTTGGTTCTAGAATTATCCCCACTTATGGACATGAAAATTGGGGCCCTGCCACTGTAAGTGGTCAACTTTGCCAGCTACTCCAGAGTGCACCCTCTCAACAACTCTTGGCAAGCTGCTCCTCAGGTCCCCTGCCTTCCCCATGCAGTATGGTGGTGACTCTGAAGAGGGAGGCAGCTCAAAGGATTGTACCCGAGTGAGAAGGGCAGGAAGCCCCGGTGCACTGTGGGATTATAGATAGCTAAGACTACATGAATCAACACAAACCATTCACCTCCACACCTTCATCTTCCTGAAGCATCCTGAGGGATGCTGAAGTAGACAGAGTGCCACAGCATCTTGGTGCATCATCTGCTGATGGGATGACAAATCCACACATTCATGTTGCTTTCCAGCCTGCCCACTTCCGTGGCAGACATCATCAATCAATCCCAGTATGCTCTCCCTCCAAGCCCATGAGCAGTTTAGGAACTTTTCATTAAGTCCCTAGCAATAGATCCAAATTGACATTTAAGAGGAAACTTGTTAGATAATCTTGATCTAAATCGACATCCTCATGTTCACTTGGTAAAAATAAAGGGAGACATTTCTGGCAAATTACACAGCAAGTTAGTGGAAGAGCTAACACAGAAGCCCAGGTTTCCTGATACTTTTCCGCAGCCCCAAATCAAACTTTCTGATGGCAAGTCACCTCTTGATGTGTGGTGACCACGTGTGTGTTAGAGCATTTTCCATGGCTGGATTTTCTGAAGTAGATCACCAGGCCTTTCTTCTGAGGCTCCTTTAGCTGGACTTGAAACTTCAACCTTTTGGTGAACAGCTGTTTGCCCCTCCCAACAGGAAACCCCCAGTCTAGTGTTCTTGGTAATACACCATTCCCATGCTCTTAGCAACAGAACTAGGGGTTCTTTGTGGGGCTGGGCCTCAGGGCTTGAGGCAGCAGGTGGAGCAGCTCCCTAATCCTGAGCCCAGAAAAGAAACACCATACTTTGCAGTTGCTGAGACCCCTGGGCCTCCCCCTGTTCCTCCAGAAGCTTAACCGTGAAGGCTGGATGGTCAGAAAATCAATTTCAGAAAAGCCTGCTTAAGCCGGCCTGTTGACATCGGGTCTGTCAGATTTAGCTGCAGTTGATTAAGCTTTGTGCAAACTCAGGGGTGGTCCTAAGGGATGCAATAATCCCCTCAGCATAGGTGAGAACCTCCAGGTCTCTCCATGTAGGGGCAGGTGGTGAGATGTGGGGGTCTGGGAGCACAGGAGAGACCCATGCCTATCTTGAGAACCTGTCTTAATCAGCTAGTACCACCATAAGAAAGGACACACGTGGATCACTTCAGCAAACATATTTATTCTCTCATGGATTAAGAGGCTACAAGTGTGAATTCAGATCACCAGCTCTAGGAGAAGGCTCTGGGGAAAGGGTCTTTTTTTTTTTTAAGTTTGTATTGTGAATTATGTGGTAGTTTACATGGGTGAACATTATCTTTACATTCATCCTATCGTATTTTCTTTCATTGCAATGATCACAATCCCCTGCATGCATCATCAAACAACCAAAGGGTACACCCCACATGCCTGCCCCCTGGCCGCCAGCCCACAGCCCCTCTCCCTCCGTGAGTCCAGAGTCCCCAGCCGCTCTTTCTGTCCACGTCATCGTCTCTGCCTCCATCCCTAGCGTCGCCGCCTCCCCGCACAGGGTCTGGCACTTTGCTTTTCTCCCTTGATGTTTCAGGGATCTCCACTCCTGGACTGCAAAATCAGTCACTCTCCTCCTTTTGTTACCAAACATTTACATTTACCTTTCCAACACTCACTGTCAGACCTGATAGCAATCATTCTTTATTGAACCACAGGAGTCCTTTCCCCCATCACCTTTTATCAACCCCATCCAGACAGGTTGGAAACAATTCAATGGAGATTCTAACTTTCTCTGTATCCTCTGGAGCTAGGTTCCCAATTGAAACCTTGTAAGTCAGTTACTTCTTGCCATTGTAGTCCCCACATTTTGGGTAGCCAATGTCTAAGTTCTCCATTCCTGTCAACCCTGTGTACCAAGGGGATGGTAATGATCCTCACTGTAGAGATATGTCCACTCCTTTGTCATACTGCATCCACAAACATAGGTCAAGTCCATCCATTTGTAGTGGGTTACTCTTTCTTTTTTTTTTCTTCTTCTTCTTCTTTCTTCCTCTAGTCATGTTCTGATCATCCAACCATTGATGCCAGGTCAAATGGGTACTTTCTGCAAGTGTGGGTGTTCTTGTGCATCTTGCCTCACTTCATATCAGCTGGATGCTTCACACTCTGTTCTAGTCCAGTGGGGCCATGTCCTTGCCCCTGGGCCCAGGAGTCCCCAGGTCTCCTCATACTGCTTGTTAACCAGTTGTCAATCCAGGTTAACAGAAGTCTACTGAATGTGTCAGACTTAGTTCACAACTTCATTGCTCTTTTCCCCCCTCTTCCCCTTATCGGTGACCAATGTGGTCAGCAGCAGGACCACATGCCTTCTAGTGTATTTCAATTGAGTTTCAGTCTTGGAAGGGGGTTTGCCTTGAGGGGACCTGACCACTTGCCTTGATGGCTCCCTGGGGAACAACTTGCTTGTTCTTGTAGTAGACAATTGGACTGCTGTTACTCTTTTTTAATTTTTCCTGCTGGTCTTTCTTTCAAGAAGTAGCTTCTGTTTTTTTAGCTTTTCCAGACTTGTCTGCTTGTCCTTTCTAGTGGAAATGCCCCACCTCAGAAGATTCTGGATGGGGATCAGCAGTCCACCTATGGTCTTGTGCAATGCAAAGGCTCTGCCAGGAGCCTTCCTTACTGGGCAAGTTCTAGCCCCATTTTAGGTATTCCAGTCAGTTATAGGCTGAAGACAGACTTCCAAGCTTTCTCTGGTGATGTTTCTGGCTAGTCCTCTCTCTCTCTGGGGGAAGGGTCTTAACACCTTTCAGTATCATGTGGGTCTGGCTTTTCTTGGCCCATCAATGTTGAAAGGAGTCAACAACTTTGATCCTGATCACGATCAAGAGCCTGGTGTCTTGATCCTGCCTTGGGTCTAGGAGGTTCTTAGCACAGGGACTCCTGATCCAAAAGGATGCACTCCACTCCTGGCTTTTCTTTCTTTCTAGGTCTCTCTCACCTCTGCTCTCTTGTTTAATCCTTTTTATATCTGGTGGCACAGTGGATTAAGTATTGAGTTGCTAATCACAAGATCAGCAGTTCAAACCCCCCAGCCACTTTTTGAGAGAAACCATCTGGAGCAGTCTATTCTGTCCTCTGAGGTTGCTATGAGTGGGAATCCACTGGATGACAGGGGTTTAGTGTTGTGGGTTATATCTCAAGAGAGATTGATTCTAGATACAATCTTATTAGTAGAACTGCTTCTAATTCTGTCCTAATAACATCATATAAGCGAGGATTTTCAGCACATAGGATAATTATATCAGATCACAGAATGGGTCATAATTGTATAATACTGAAAATCATGGGCTAGCCAAGTTTACATATTTGGAGGCAACACAATTGAATCCATAACAGGACCACTCCCCAGATCACTCCTTTGCTAGGCTGGGACTGGTGGTCTTTATGGGGCAGTCCCGTCCAGATGGCCAGAGAGAGGAGCCTCCATGGCTCCAGCCCAGACTTTCTCTTGATCTGCAGTCCTTAGGCCCATTCTCCCCTAACACACCCTCTGGGGTATTCAGGTGCTCTGTGATTGTGTCCTGCACCTATTGGTTGGGGTCCTGTAACTAGGAGGAAGAGTGTACCTGGGCACTTCCCGTTAGGTTATCAGGGCTGCCCAATCAGCTAAGGGAGCTAAGGTCTAATGGGGTGTCTAGGCACGGGCTCCTTCAATCCTACAAAAGGCTCATTTTATCCTATTAGAAGATGTCATGGGCTCAGCAAGTCTTGTCTGATGGACGGCATCCACCCAAAGGGGTGCTCTTCTGATTCACTTAAAGACACCCTGTAGATCCCCAGTCACAGGCTCAGCCTGGCCCAAATGTTACATATGTTCAGTCAGTGCATATTTATTCAGTGAGTCATGGTGTGGCGTTGTAGGATAAGCACTGGACTGCTAGTCACAAGGTCCGTGGTACAAAGCCACCAGCCTCTCCTACAACTTACCCATTGAGAGTGCAGATCTGAAGGCTGATGATTTGAGTCCGTCCAGAGGTACCTCAGAAGAAAGGTCTGGTGATCTTCTGAAAACCCTATGGAGAGGGGTTCTACTCTGACACACGTGGGGCTGCCATGAGTTGAGATCAGCTGAATGTCTACTGTGTGCCAGGGGCAGGGCCAATTTAACAAGAGAATAAATATCAAGTGGCCAGCCCCCAGCAAACATGTGGCTGTGTGACTTCAGTTGGGAAGCTCATGGATTCGCTCCAGTGCCGGTTCTGGCAAAGTCTCAGCCAGGGGCCTGACAGAGGCAGGAGGGGAGGAAAGCTGTCAAGCCTCTGCTTTCCTTTGCAGGCACAAATTCCCTAATTCCACGTTTATCCAACCTTCCCTAATGGTGCCTTTTGAGCTGTCAGGTGGTGTGAAAAACACGCATTAATATAAATTAGAACCTACCAGGCAGAAAGCTCCGGTGATGATGTCCCAGCTCGCAAAGAGCCCGGAGAGTCTAAGTGGCTCATGCTGTGTCTTTGGGTTCTTAGGGTCTTTGCAGACTGCCTGCAGTTCACAGGTCTCCGGGGTGTGTGCGGTTGAGAGCCTCAGGTCTTAATAACAGCCCCAGGAATCACTGGGACCAGGTCCTGAGTGCTAATGGGTCACCAGCACTGCGCTAAGCTCCAAGTGAGGGACAGAGCCACCTACCTGTTTGTTGTGTATCCCGAGGTTCACCACATAGTAGGTGCTCAGTGATGTATGTTGTTGTTGTTGTTAAGTGCCGTCGAGTCGGTTCCGACCCATAGAGACCCTGTACAGGGTTTCCGAGGGTGTAAATCCTTACGGGAGTAGAAAGCCTCATCTTTCTCCCGCGGAGCGGCTGGTAGTTTCGAACCGCTGACCTTAAGGTTTGCAGCCCGATTCGTAACCACTACGCTACCAGAGCTCCTTCAGTGATGTATAAATGAACAATAAGAAGACTCACCAGTGTGTCTGGGCATTAGCCAGTTCTCATGTATCTCTCACAAACGCCCTATAGGGAAGCAACTGTAATGATTCCATTTTCAAGAAGAGATATAAAGAGGGTGAAGGATTTACCCAAAGTCACCAGGCTGGCAAGAGATGCTTGTAATCACCATGCCAGGGCTCCCGAGTGTTGTAACAGGGCCTCAAGGAGCTCAGAAGGCTGCTAAGGTCTAAGTACTAGACTCCCAAGAAACCCTCTTATTCACAGTGACTTTGTCATTAACCAACACTCCATGCTCTGACTGAGGGCCTGTGCTGAGCTGAGACTGTACCGTGATGGGAAGCCCAAGTAGCTGGATTCTGGGTGATGAGCCAGACCCACAGCCAGGAGTAGTGCTTTGATGGGGTGGTTGAGGGGACTGTGGGAACACAGAAAGGGGCAGAATCTCAGACGAGATGGTCAATGAAGGCTCCGCAGGAGAAGCAAAGTCTTATCCCCAGACCCCTTCCTGAGCTGCTGCCCACCTAGGCTGGTCTGTTCCCTCTCCAGGTGTTGTGAAGTCCAAGTGCGGCCTCAGCAAGTCCTGCCCAACCGACTACTTTGCATTTAAGATTTGCAGTGGGGCTGCCAACGTTGTGGGTCCTTCCTTGTGTTTTGAAAACCACATGTAAGTGCCTGAGGCGCTCCTGCTTTTTTTCATCCACTGATTCGTTTTTTGGCAAATTCTGAGGCTGCAATATGCAGGCCTGTGAGATCAGTCCACACCTTCCTTAGACTTCCTTATCCCCTGGGGTGGGTGAGTCACAAACTACAATATCCCTAACAGCTTCATGTTCTGTAGTATCCTATTCGTTCGTTCCTTCCACGGTGGTGTTGTCCGTATTGTTGTTGTTGTTATTATGGGTCATGGAGTCGGTTCCGACTCATAGCAACCCTGTACAGGGTTTCCAAGACTGTAAATCTTTATGGGAGCAGAAAGCCTCCTCTTTCTCCCATGGAACAGCTGATAGTTTTGAACTGCTGGAAATTAAGATTCCAGATCATCTACCTAGTCACTGTAGCCAATGATTTGAACTCACCTCTGTCTGACTCAAGATTTGACATCAAGTCTGTCTGATACCCAAACTACTGGGCTTCCCCCGAAAGGAGATGGCTATTGGGAAGGCTCAAGATGGCATCAAAGCCTCCATAATTAACTCAGACAGATAAAAAAAAAAAAGGGGGGGTGGTGGTGGTGGTTGGGAAATTCATTGGGTCGTGTGCCCAAAAGGCCAGAGGCAGCAAGCTTCAAGTTTGCTTGATCCAAGGAGTCAAATCCTGTCTTCAGGGCTCCCTCTGCTTTCTTCTGTCACTTAGCTTTGCTTTTCCTGTCTGAAAATGGGTTTCTCCATGTGGTCCAGGAGGGAGACTACCAGCTGGGTTGATTCCAGCCTAGGACCCCCTGGGAAGAAAGCTTTCTCTTCTGAATTTTCCCAGCCAGCATCTCAAAACTGGGTTTCATTGGCTGGCGTGGATCACATGAGCATGCCTGACCCAGTAACTGGGATATGTACAGACCTAGGAGAGAGAGGCTCATCCCTAGAACTGGACAGCCCCACAGTTGGGAGCTGGGGCAGGGGTTGGGATGGCTCCCCATCCAACTCCACAGAGCCCCTGTTTGGAACAGTCTGTTCTGAGCCAAACTTGCCATGAAAGACTTATCAGAGAGTCCTGCCCACTGCTAGTTTCCAGAAGGCAAACACATGGCCCAAATGGTTCCGTGTGTTTCCTAATGTTCCTTTGTCACGCCTCGTGGGCCCTGTCTGTGTCCCGGAGAAAGTAGAGTGCACTTTCCTCTCTTGGGGATGACTGGTGTGCTTTGTTTTACTTTTTCTTCAGGATCATGAGCCCTGTGAAAAACAACGTGGGCAGAGGCCTGAACATCGCCCTGGTCAATGGTGAGTCACTGACCTACTCCTTAGAGGCCCCAGCGTGTGCATCACACTGATAGGGCTTGGAAGGGCAGAGAGGAAGTCATACCTTTATTCAACAAAAGTTGGCTGAGCTCCTGCCAGGTGCCCAGCATTGGGTTGGTGCTGGTGTTAGACAAGGAGCATTTGGTTGACTTGTGGGAACAGAAGGTCTTAAAGACCAGAAGACCCATGCAATTGGATTCCTGGTATGGCGCTGTAGGATAAGCACCTACAAAGTCTATTTGAACCACAGTCTCCACAGTTCAAATTCACCAGCTCAAAGTCAAATCAGTAACACTTAACAACAACCACTCCACACACTTGGCTGCTATACAAAAGGTTGGAAGTTTATGTCTATCCAAAAAGGCACCTAGGAAGAAAGGCTTGATTCTTCTCTGACACACATGGATTCTCAATGGGTCAGAATCAACTCTATGGCAACTTGTTACTGGTTACCCACAATCCTAGCCTGTCCCTTCCACAGCCCCGGAGGAGCCCCTTAGCCTATGGAACATGACCCATTCACAGGCATCTCCCTACCCCCAGGTCTAAACCAGCACACAGAATGTGGGATGAATTGCCTTCATTCAGACATCCACAGCAGTTTCTGTGGGCCAGGCCCTGTACAGCACACTGGGGGTCAGACCTTAGCTTCAAAGCCCCTAGTGGGTGTCAGTGAGGTTCACAGGCCATCACAGTATGGTCAGCATTTATTGAGGAGAAAGAAACACAGTGCACTGTGGGAATTGGGATGGACTGGTGAAGTGGGGGTAGTCCAGAGGGAAGTGAGAGCCAGCTGAGGTCCGAGGATGAGTAGGCGTTGGCCAGGAGTAAAGTGGGGGAATAAGCAGTTTCCAGGCAGGGGCAGCAGGGAAAGGAAGGCAGAGAGCGGCTTATGGGTCAGCAGAGGGTCTTTCTGGCAAAAACATGGACATGGACAGTGGTGAGGGCCCACTTCTTGCTCAGGAGGATGGATTTGATGTGGAGGGCAGTAGGGAGCCCCTGAAAGAAAGGCTTTGAGTAGAGCATGAGGGACCAGCCTTGCATTTCAAGAATCTCCTTCTGGTTTGGAGAGGGGAAACTGGAAGCAAGGAGACCGGGAGGAGACACATGCTTGCTCCCCCAGTATCTCTAACAGGTGAGGAGTGGGAGGCCAGACCACAGACCAAGGCTTGCTTCAGGAGGGGCTGGGTTAGTGGGTGTCAGGTGATGTGGCCGCCACCAAAGCCTTTTTGGTCTTTGAATTTGACCTGGAGAGCATTTCCCTGACTCTTAACCACTATCTGGTCAGGGCCTCATGGGAAAGGGCACAGCAGATGGCAGGATGGCAGGCTTGTCATGGCTTTTCATGACCTCACTCAGGGAGTGGTAAGGTGGGATTTGAACCCAGGTTTACCCAACTCCAGGCTGTAGAACTTTGCTCCTAGAAGACATTTCCCCTCCAACAAGGAATGCTGCTGAGTCAGGGGGCAGCCCATTCTTTTGGAGAATGGAGTGCTGCCCAGAGGGCTGACAGAGGGCCCGCAGTCTTGAGGTCCTTCCTGTGCGCAGGGAATGTAGCACACAGGTCAGTCTCCATGCACTCTGCAGCACCTGCCACACCCAGTTGCCTGGAGGAGCCTCTGGTTATTATGCCCGCGACCCTCTGCAACCTTCCATAGCTCCCACCGTGCGGGTTGCGGAGAATGGCTCCGGCTACAGCTGACCTGACTGAAACCTTGAGTTTCTCTTCCCCCAAATGAACACTGCTTCAGAAAACCTTTTTGAATGACCTCTTCTCCAACCCCAACAAATCCATTGGGTAAAATTTAAGAAGAGCATGATTAACAATAGTGAATAATAATAAGAGCATTTAAGTGTGCTAACTATCTCACTTCACTACCACACAATGCTATAGTACAGCTATGTTCCATAGCCTCATTTCCCAAGTAAGAAATGGAAGCTCAGAGAGATGTTAAGCAACCTGCCCAAGGTCACACAGCCAATGCACAGAATTGTCTAGATTTGAATCCAGAGCAGACTGACTCTACACATGAACTGCTCAGTTGAACTAGCTGCTAATATTAGCAACCATATATGCAGCACCAGCTATGGGGAAGTCTGACAAATCACTTTCAGGGCCTCGGGCAGTCCCCATCTGTGCAATAAGCCAGAGAACAAAGGAATTGCTAAGGAAACAGAAGCTTAGAATGAAACTCAGGTGTGCTTTTCAACCTTAGATTCATCCTAATAACAACAAGCAGGTTTGATCTCTCCCCTCACAGCCTTACTTTCGGGGTGATCAGTAGTTTCTAACTTTCAAGGGGCCAGACCTTTGCGAAAAACTGCTCAAACTATGTTCCACCGTGCACTTGTACCCCACCCCTGTCCTTTCAGAAATAAATCCGAAAATAATCATAAAGCAGTTTTCTGGGGGTCACAGGTCCTCTTTTAAGGGCCCCAGATGAAGTCCCACAAGTGTCTTGGACACTACATGGCTTCGAAAACCCTGGAGGAGCTACAAAGCATTCATACCTAGTCTTACCACCTCCACTCCCCTCCTTCACTCCTCACATACACTAACACACACTCTCTCTCTCTCAAGCTATACCCTTAAGGACACAGCTCACCTTACCCATCCCTGCCCCTTAAAGAATCCACAAACTGCAGAGGGGCGGGAGTGGTGTAGAACATCAATCGCCTCTACAACACCCCCATCTAGTGGCCATAAGTGAGATCTGCAACTTTCCTGCAGCACGCCCGTTCCCAGAAATTTGGGACTGTTAACACCGAGCTCTGGGAGCGTAGTGGTTACGAATCGGGCTGTGAACCTTAAGGTCAGCGGTTCGAAACTACCAGCCGCTCCGCGGGAGAAAGATGAGGCTTTCTACTCTCGTAAAGATTTACACCCTTGGAAACCCTGTACAGGGTTGCTATGGGTCGGACCCGACTCGATGGCACTTAACAACAACAACAACACCACCAAGATCAGCAGTTCAAGCCCACCAGCTGCTCCCTAGAGTCACTATGAGTTAGAAGTGACTTGATGGCACTTAACAACAACTTGCCCAGTAAAATCCACAAAAGCAATTCAAGATTACTGAAACAGAGTAATTTTCAGCCCACAAGAAAGCCCTTTGTCTTCAGAGTGTTTGAGAACTCAAATTGCACATTTTCTGTTTAGGTGGAGCCATTGAATAGGGTCACTGTGAGTTGGAATCAACTCAAGGGCAATGGGGTTTCTGTTGTTTAATAATGACAGAGGTCTCTGGGTGGTTTCCACTTGGCTAGTAATCAGGTTGGCAGTTCGAATCCACCCTGTTGGGCCATGGGAAAAAGTCCTAGCAATGTGCTTCTGTAAAGAATGTTGTTGTTGTTAAATATCGTGGAATCAGTTCAGATTCATAGCAACCCTGTACAGGGTTTCTGCGGCTATAAATCTTTACGGGAGCAGAACGCCTCATCTTTCTCCTGCGGAACCACTGGTAGTTTTGAACTGCTGACCTTGAGGTTGGCAGCCCGACTCGTAACCAGTACGCTACCAGAGCTCCTTGCCCTCTGGAGCCGCTCTACTTTAACACCTGGGGTTGCTGTGAGTCAACATTGACTCGTTGGCAGCAGGTTTTTTGGAATTATAATGATTATCATTATTAATATTTTGTGACTAAAATTTATCTTGCCTGCTGATTACATATTTGTTATGTGTGCTCTTGAGTTGGTTCAAATTCAAAGCAACCCTGTTTAGAATTTTTGAGAGAGGTTGGTGAGTTTGACCTGTTGACCTGTGGGTTCACAGTCCAATGCCTGCCCTTCAGCGCCATCCTACTGAATTCATACAATCCATTGTACAGACACAAAAATAGAAGTTAGCATGCTATGTCACATGTTAGGAAATGCAGGATAGAACAGAAACACAAACTGGTTAGATTTTGTTCTATTCCAGAATACTTTAACCATTTTATTCTTGTACCTCTCAGGTCAGCCCGGTGGTTATTATTACATGTTTTATTCTATTATTATTATTATATTTCTAATCCTTGGACTTGCAACCTGAAGAGTAGCTATTTTTAGCAAAATGACAGGCGGAATGATGTGTTACAGGAAATAATAGCTCTCCTCTCTTAATTCCTTAGGATCTACGGGAACAATGCTGAAACACGGTTTCTTCGATATGTACTCTGGAGGTAGGTGCTTCCTTTGGCCCTGAGCTCCTTCCTGTAGCAGGAAGCCTTGGAGGCAGAGGTGTTGGCTCTTGTTTCTACAGGAACAAGAACTGCTTTGGGGGTTAAGGATCATCCCTCTATCTCTGAAACGCCTTCCTATGTTCTTAATTGGAGGTCTCCGTAATGCAGGTCCTGAGACTAGTATTCAAGTGCACTGGTTTATTTGGCGAGGTGATCTCAGGAAACAGCAGTCAAGGAATGGGAAGTAAAGGAAGGAAGCCAATAGAAAGTGTGATGTCGAGACATTTACCACCATGGACAAGTGGTCACACTCCCACTGGGGTCCTCGATGAGGCAGTGTGGAACTCACAGCACAGAGATAGCCCAGTCTGGTCCAAGAAACTGGAGTGCTCACTCTCATGATGCCCAGACACTTTCAGCACTTCTGGTCTGCCCCGAGGCTGGTGAAGTGGGATCCAGAGAACAGAAGAAGCCCTCTGTGCTAGCAGTTGGAGGTCAGGCTTGAGTCCACTGAAGTGCCAAGGACAAGAGCATCCTTTCTGCTGTACCCACTCAAGCTCAGCCTGGCCCTGAGAGTGGAGGAAGACTACACTCCCGAGGTCAGGACAGGGCAGCAGCTCTCTGAGTTCTGCCATCCTCCCTGCTGAAGTTCAGACCCCACAGCTGAATCTGGGCCTAGGGCTGGGATGATATTTTATGTTAAAATCCCGTAGTGGACCAGGAACAGAACAAAGCTTCTCAAGGCCAGAAAGGACAGCTCAGAGGCTCTGAGATCTCTGTATCTTTCTTTTTTTCTTGCCCCATCACTGACACGCTTTTGAGCTTCTCTGTTTGCATGGCCCCAGACCTTAGTGGTCACTGTCTTCCTGCCCTTAGCACAAGCTTGCAGGACAGGGTAGTGACCTACTTGAACTGGAGTCCCGGGCATCTGTGTTCCCACCACTAACTTCCTCACCAACCAGCCAACCTGGCAAATCTATAGACAATTAGTGCTCCTGCCATCTTCCAAAGGCGGTAGGATCAGCCCCAGACCCCAGAAACCACACCACTGCCCACTTTCATCCCAGCCTCCCTCAGGTCCAAAGAGCCTCTACAACAAGTAGTAGTTCCATAAGTTCTGTGGTTTCTGCAAACAGGCAGAGACCCAGACAGTGCAAGGATGCTTCCCATTTGACAGATTCATTGAGCTCTAACCCCCTTCCCACAGCCCAGCTGGGCTCAGTTTCTCTCCTGTCTCTGGAGACCAGCTCTGGACAAGTATGTGCGGCTTCTGACCCCAAAGAGCTCCTAGCATGAACTTGGATGGAACCATGGGTTAGATTGAGTCAGTAACAGAAGTATTTTGAGAATAAGTGGCCCCTTCCCATAGGAAGCAAAGAGAAAATTGAATTCTTAAGGTGACATCATGATTAACAGAAGGTGATATTTCCAAATATTCCCTGGTGTGACGTTGTAGGATAAACACTCGACTGAAAGGTTGGTTTGAACCACAAGGTCAGTGCTTCAAACTTACCAGCTGCTCCTCAGAAACCCTATACAGGGTTGCTATGTGTCGGAACCAACTCAACAACACTTCACAACAACAACAAATCCTAGAAAAGAGCCAGATCTTAGTATTTGCAAACTCAAGCGAAATGCCAGGGGTTTAAGATGGAAACCAACTGCTTTGACTTTTTTGTCTTAAAAATTCAAGGGCAGAAGTTTTGTAACATAAAGTGGGGAGTAGTTAATCTTACATCACAGGAACAGAGGACCCTAGGACCATCAAGGGAAAAGAGCAGGAGTGGAATGCAGGACTCTATCCAGAGAAGCAGTGAGTGGCACCAGAGATGGAGGCAAAGATGATGGAAAGAGAAAGGCTGTGTCCTGGCCGCCAGGAGGCAGGCTTGCAGAATGTGCTCTTTGGTTTTTAAATGATTATGTATTCTTGAGTGTTTTTGTGTACATGGAAAATAAAAAAACAGAGGAAATAGAAGCAAATACTGTTAAATGATGATGCACTGAGGCTATTGTAATCATTACAATGAATTGAAATACAATAGGCTGAGTGCAAAACTGATGTTCTCCCATGTAAACTGTCACTCAATTCACCATAAAAACTTAAAAAAAAAAAAAAAAGTTCAAGGACAGTTCACTAAAGGTTGGCTGTGCAAATCCACCCTGCGACTCTCTGGGAGAAAGACCTGGTCATCTCCTCCCATAAAGCTGACAGCCTAGGGTAATCCTATGGGGCTGTTCCCCTCTGTCATGTGGGCTCACTATGAGTTGGAGTTGACTTGAAGGCACCTGGCAACAGCAATGATTGTGCTGCTCATTAGCATCACCTGGCACTTCCGCATTCCAATGCCCAGAACCCACCCCAGATTGCTCCAGTAATTTAGGGAAATAGAAGAGAATGACCAGTGATTGTTTCTCCTACATGACCAGCGTCTCATTTTTCTTCCTCTGCCAGATCCTAAAAACCTAGAGAAATTCCTTAAGGAAATCCCAGAGGACACGCTGGTGTTGGTGGCCTCCTACGATGACCCTGGGACCAAGTAAGTAGCAAACTCGGGCCTTCCGCCTGGCATTCCCTTGGCTGCTTTTCTGCAGGTCCACCCCCTGGTATTTTAACCCCAGGAATTAATCAGTGCGGTCTTGGCCGCAGCAGTGAAAAGCTAGAACCAGTCTCTTTGTCCAATGATAGCTACCTGGTTACATAAATGTACTCTACTACAAATCCACGCACCAACCATTAAAGGCAATGATGACGAAATTGAATTTTAACAACTTCTTTAGTCTGAAAGTGATCACATTTGAAATGAAAATTCATTGATAATTGATGGTGATTGGAATGCAAAATGGAAGCAAAGAGGAAAGATCAGTAGTTGGAAAACGTGGCCTTGGTGATACAAACAGTATTGGCGATTGCATGATAGAATTTTGCAAGACCATTAACTCCTTCAGTGCACATACCACCAGATGGAACATGCAGGAATCAAATTGACTACAACTGTGGAAAGAAACAATGGAGAAGCTCTATGCCATCAACCAAAATGAGGCTAAGGGTCAACTGTGGGACAGACCATCGATTGCTCATATACAAGTTTAGATTGAAGCTGAATAAAATTAAAACAGGTCCATGAAAGTCAAAATATCATGAGTATGTTGTTGTTAAGTGCTGTCTTGTTGTTAAGTGCTGTCGAGTTGATTCCTACCCATAGTGACCCTGCATACGGTTTCTGAGGCTGTAAATCTTTACAGGAGCAGAAAGCCTCATTTTCTCCCATGGAACTGCTGGTCGTTTCAAGCTGCTGACTGTGAAATTAGCAGCCCGATTCGTAATCACTATACTACCAGAGCTCCTTATAATGAGTATATCCCACCTGAATTTAGAGACCATCTCAATGACAGATTTGCTGCATCAGGTACTAATGACTGAAGCCCAGATGAGTTGTGGGATGACATCAAGAATATCATCCATGACACAAAGTCTTTGAAAAGACAGGAAAGAAAGAAAAGACCAAAGTGGCTGTTGGAATAGAATTTGAAACTTGCTCTTGAATGTAGGGAAGCTAAAGCAAATGGTAGAAATGATGAAATAAAAGAGCTGAGCAGAAAATTTCAAAGAATGGCTGGAAAAGACAATGTAAAGTATAATGAAATGTGCAAATTTTCTCAAGCAGAAAGACAGAGAAAAAAAATCAAGCCTCAAGTTGCAATATTGAAGGATTTTATGGACAAATCATTGAATGATACAGAGAGCATGAAAGGATGGGAGAAAGATGAGGCTGTCTGGTCCTGTGATGTCTGTAGGCTCAGAGCATTGAGGAGCAGTTCACCTCACTCCTATAGGGTTGCTATGAATTCGAATCTGCTGAGTCCTGGTGTGGTGCTGTGGGTTCATGCGCCAGACTGCAGAGCCCTTTGAACTACAGGGTCAGTGTTTCAAGCTCACCCATCGCTCCTTGGAATCCCTATAGTTGCTATGGATCAGAACTGACTGGACAGCACTTAACAACAACAAATGGTAGTTGGTTTGGTTTTTAGTTTTTTAGGGTTTTTTTGTTTTGGAAACTGAGGTCTTTCTTCCTCAAAGATGCTGAATTGGTATGGGCGACCTGTGTTCAATTCCTGTCTAATACATCTCATACACATCATGCATTTGTCATTGGAGGCTTGTATGTTACTGTGGCCCTGAGCAGGTTTCAGGAGAGCTTCTGGACAGACTAGGAAGAAAGACCTGGCAATCTACTTCCAAAATCAGCCAGTGAAAACCTAAGTGATTACAGCAATCTGACTTTTTTGTTCATTGTGAGTTGACAGCAGCTAACAACACCCTAAGATCAGAATGAATGTATTTCTGAAACTATTGACTCCAGGTTCTAGCCTGGGAAAAGGGAGTTGTAAAGAAAGATTGATTGGGAATCATCGATCAGGGTCCGTGTTTTGCCACTATGCCACTGAGGGCATGTGAAATGATTTCAACTGACCCATAGACTCATATTAAAAGAGGTTGTTTTTTTTATTCTAAAAACAAACAAAAAAAGATGGAAAGAATACAGAGTCACTGTACCAAAAAGAATTGGTTTATTTTCAGCCATTTCAAGAGGTAACATATGATTTAAAAAACAATGGTACTGAAGGAAGACGTTCAAGCCAATGACAGCACTGGCAAAAAAATAACAAACAAGGCTCCAGAAACTAACAGAATACAAATGGAAATGTTTCAACAAATGGATGCAGTACTGGAGGCACTCACTTGTGTATGCCAAGAAATTTGGAAGACAGCTGCTTGGCCAACTGATTGAAAGAGATGTGTGCCCATTCTAAAGAAAGGTAACCCAATGGAGTGTGGAAACAGTCTTACAATATCATTAATACCACATGCAAGTAAAATTTTGGTGAAGATAATTCAAAATTGGTTGCATCAATACACTGACAGGGTGCTGCCAGAAATTCAAGCTGAATTCACAAGAGGATGTGGAACAGGGAATGTCATTGTTGATGTCAAATGGATCTTGGATGAAAGCAGAGAATACCAGAGAGATGCTTACTTGTGTTTTATTGACGATGCAAAATCATTTGACTGTGTGGATTATAGCAAACTATGGATAACATTGAGATGAATGGGTATTCCAGAACACTTAATTATGCTCATGAGAAAGCTGTGCAGAGACCAAGAGGTAATCATTTGAACAGAACAAGGGAATACTGAGAGGTTTGCAATCAAAAAAGGTGTACGTCAGGATTGTCTCATTTCATGATACTTATTCAATCAATCTATGTGCTGAGCAAATAATCTGAAAATTTGGATTTTATGAAGAATAACATGGCATCAGGATTGAAGGAAGACTCATTAATAACCTGTGACATGCAGATGATACAACCTTGCTTGTTGTAAGTGAAGAGGACGTACATTATTTACTGATGAAGATCAAAGGCTACAGCCTTCAGTATGGATTGCATCTCAATGCGAAGAAAACAAAAATCCTCACCACTGGACCAATAAATAACATCATGGTAAATGAAAAAAAGATTAAAACTGTCAAAGACTTCATTTTTGCTTGGAGCCACATTTAACACTCATGGAAGCAACAGTCAAAGAAATTAAACAATGTATTGCATTACGCAAATTTGTTTCAAAAGACTTATTTTAAAGTATTCAAGAGGAAAGATAACCACTTTGAGGACTAAGGTATGTCTGGCCTAAAGCAGGGTATTTTCAAGGCCTCATATGCATGTGAAAGTTGTACGATGAATAAGGAGGACCATAGAAGAATGAATGCATTTGAATTGTGTTGTTGAAGAAGAATACTGAAAGTACCGTGGACTTCCAGAAGAACAAACAAATTGGTCTTAGAAGTACAGCCAGAATGTTCCTTAGAAGCCAGGATGGTGAGACCTCATCTCTTGACTTTGGACATGTTGTCAGAAAGGACTGTTCCCTGGAGAAGGACATCATGCTTTGTAATGTGAAAAAAGAGGAAGCCCCCCACCCCCACCCCCCCAACGAGAAAGACTGACACAGTGGCAGCAATAATGGGCTCAAAACGTGACAACGTCTCAGGACTAGACAGTGTTTCGTTCTGTTGTACATAGCGTTAGAACTGACTCGATGGCATCTAAGATCAACAGTCTACTGCAATTTGTGATATGCTGTGATGTGTTAGTGGTTAAGAGCTTGGCTATTAACCAAAAGGTTAGCAGTTCAAACCAACTAGTCACTTCATGGGAGTAAGATGAGGCAGTCTGCTTCCGTAAAGGTTCATATAGCCCTGGAAACCCTACTAGGCAGTTCTGCTCTGTTCTATCGGTTGCGATGAATTGGATCTAACTTGGTGACAATGGGATGAACATTAGGAGTCCTGCTATTGCCACAGTTAAGCACTTAGCTGCTAACCTAAAGGTCACCAGTTTGAATCCCCAGCAGCTCCCACAGAGAAAGAACTAGAGATCTGCTTCCATTAATAAGATTGTTATTGTTGCATGCCATCAAGTCAATTCTAACTCAGAGCAGCACTTGGGGACAGAGTAGAACAGTCTCATAGCGTTTCCAAGGCTGTAGTCTTTATGGAAGCTGGCTGACATATCGTTCAGTGGATTTGAACCCATGACCTTTCAGGTAGTAGATGAGTGCTTAATTGCTGTGCTACCAGCATAGGATCCTTTCCCGTAAAGATAATGGTCTGGGAAATCCTTTGAGGTAGTTCTACTCTGTTACATGGGGTCTGTCACGGAGTCAAAATTTACTTGACAGCACTTAACATCAGATGATATGTTATATGTGCATAAGTTACATACTACAGCAAAAATGATAATGTAGGAAGTATTTAAGGACATGAAAAATATACTCATCTTTTAGCACTAAGTGAACCAAAAAAGAAGAGATTTCAAAACAGTTATGACCCCATTGTGCATAATAAAATAGATATTTTGGTTGTGTGCTGTCTAGTCAGTTCCAACAGATAGCCATCCTTTATAGGGTTTCCAAGAGTGGCTGGTGAGCTTGAACTTTTGACCTTGTGGTTAGAGTGGTCAGCAGTTCATTGCTTATCCTAGAGTACCACACCAGAGCCCAAGATAGATTTTCTTGTTGTTAAGTGCTGTTGAGTCAGTTGCAACTCATAGCGACACTGTCTATATAGGGTTTCTGAGGGTGTACATCTCTGTCAGAGCAGAAAGCCTTGTCTTTCTCCTGAAGAGCAGATGATGGACTTGAACTGCCAACCTTGTGGTTTACAGTTTAGTGCTTATCCTACAGAGCCACCTCACTCTCACAAGATAGACATGTTGCTGTTAAGTGCCATTGAGTCAGTTCCAACTCAGAGTGGTCCTGCATAGGATTTCCAAGGAGTGGCTGGTGAGTCTGAACTGTTGACCATGTGGTTAGCAGTCCAGTGTGTATCCTACAACACTACACCAGAACACCACAAAATAGGCATTGTTGTTGTTAAATGTTGTCGAGTCAGTTCTGACTCTTAGCGACTCTTTATAGGGTTTTGGAGGTGTGGATGGTGAATTTAAACTACTAACCTTGCAGTTCAAACTGACCTTATGGTCCCATGCTTATCCTACAGTGCCACACCATGACTCCAAAGTAGATATGGGGAGGCAGAATAAATTACATTGTTTACAGTGATTATGTCAAGAGGAGTGAGACTGTATATTTTTAGATACTTCTATGTGATTTTTAATGTTTTCCAAATGAATACATATTATATTTGTTACCGGAAGAGAAATGTTTCAATACTTCACTTCTCCAACCCATCCACATCCCCCTTTGGTGGAGAAAGGCTTAGGATACCTCTGACTTTGTTCTTCTGTGTGCTGCTGAACTCGCCTCATTCTTCAAGCCCCACCCAGACATAGTCAACAAACCCAGTGGTGGATGGGGCTCATTCTTAGGAACCTGGCCCCGCTATCCCACTTCCCTGGTTCCCTTCACCCACTACCACGGCCTCACTGCCCTCTCTCACCTCTGCAGGATGAATGACAACATCAGGACGCTCTTCTCCAACTTGGGGAGTTCCCATGCAAAGCAACTTGGATACCGGGACAGCTGGGTCTTCCTAGGAGCCAGAAACCTCAGGAGCAAAAGCCCCTTTGAGCAGGTGGGTTCTTGGCCTCCTTCTATCCCCAGAAAAGGACAAGGTGTGGGCTGGGGGTGCAGAGAACACTGACCCATAAACCCTACTGCCTTAGAGTCAGTTGACTCATGGTGAACCCATGTGTTGCCTAGTAGAACTGCCCATAGGATTTTCTTGACTGTGATCTTCATGGAAGCAGATTGCCAAGTCTTTTCTCTATGGAAGCTGTGGGTGAGTTTGAACCACCAACCTTTTGGTTAGCAGCCAAATGCAAACCTTTTGCAGTATCCAGGGAGTGCTGACACTCACCCACCATTGGGCCTTGTTGAGGGAGGGAATTTCCACACAGCGGCCTGAGGAGACCACTCATATGTCATTCCCACCAGTCAGTCTCAGGGTCCTCTGACTGGCCAGTTCCCCAGCAGGAAGCTGCCTGGACCATGTTGCAAGGAGGTGGAGCATGAATAAATGCATACTTGTTTAGGTAGGTCCCTAACGAGAGAGGAAGGAAAGGAGAAACGAAGGATGAAGAAAAGTAGTCCCTGGCATTGCTTGGTCCTGGATGATCCTCATGTGGCATCTGTTTTCAGTGTTTGGGGACGTAGGAAGGAGAGCTCTGTATTGAATCTGCTCTTGTTATCACCCAGAAGTAACTGGGTTCAGCACATACCCCACCCTGGCAATGGGCTGATTAACATAACTAAGGAAACCCTGTTTCTGTCCACAGTTCTCTGGGTTAGCATTCTAACATGTATTTTGTGAGGATGCAATTCAATCCCTAAGTGTCACATTTTTCAGATGAGGAACAGGAGACTGGGAGAGGTATTAGCCAGCTTGCTCTGGGGCTTGGAACTACTTAGTGATGCTAATGTATTTCCAACCCAGGTCTGCCTCCTCCACAGACTTTCTGTCTTTATCTCAGGGCTTCGAACCCATTCAAAACAGCTCAGGAGTTTGCTGTCATCAGCAAAAACTGTGTATACGTTGTGTGCCAGCAAAATGTGCTGCCATTGCTGCTTTGAATGTGTGCTGCTCTCCAGAGTCCTGACAGGAATCCAATCTCCTACATCCGGCTCTTGACACTTTTTGGAGACAAGACTGTGTCGTGATTTTTGGAGAGCCAGCACTACTGGCAGGACGTTTGCAGAGCAGCACATTCAGATCAGCCGGTTGGCCACTGTCTTTAAGCAGGCACAGCTGTTTGATTCCTATTCAAGTCAAACTATCACAGGCAACACATTTGGTTGTTCTACAATGTATGTGCGGCCATTGTTTACCACAGCAATGACAGAGTCAGGTGGCAGGGAGAGCCAGTGAAACAATCAGACAAGACACCAGAGACTCAGGGTGGGGAGGGGCTGTGAGGAGACAGGGCAGGTGCAGGTCTTGCTGAACTACAGGAAAGAGGGAACAGGACCCGGTTGGTGTAGAAGGATTTTTGTTTGTGGGCTTTGTCTGGTTTGTATATGTTTGTGTTTACAAGAATGCAGTCCACTCAATAGCAACTTTTTCTTTTTCTTGTTCATGTAATTATGAATTACTTTTTATAAATAAGGATTTTTTCTCTCTCTCTCTTTTTTTTTTTTTTTAAATGTGACTCTTGCTTGAGTAGAAAATGTGACACCTCTCTGTGTCTACCCTGTGGGGAAGGAAGGCAGAGGCTGTTGGACGCTAGTAGGTGTGGAGGGGTACCAGGAGGGCAGACTATGTAGGTAGTAGGCCTCGGGACCACATTAGCAGAGCCAGCGCTCTTCTTCCATCAACCGCCAGTTCCAGACACAGAAAGTCTGAGCCAAGACAGTAAATAAAAGTTACTAAGGAAACAGCACCGTTTTTTACCTGATATTTCTGACTTAACCACCCAGTAATGGGCCAAAGTCCACGACATGATTAAAATCAATGTGTCTTCTGTTCCCACATATGGGAGCTGAGGCTTAGAGAAGCAGAATCTAGGTTTTTTTCTCTTTCTTCTTAGGACTCAGCCACTATTATTTATTCCAGCAGTAGATTTTCACATTTACTTTATTCCTCCTACCAGCCTGTGATACTATCAGCCTAAACATTTTAAATACAATCTTAGCTGGTTTTATTATTTTTACAGAATTACCATTATTATTGTCATGAATTAGTATTATACAATAGTTGCACTGCTTATCAGCTGGATAGCCATAGGCAGTGACTTTGGCTCTCTGTACCTCAGTTTCCCCACCTGTAGAATGGGATAATAGCAGTGTACACTTACAGAGCCGCTGCTGCTATGTGCTGTAGTGTAGGTTCCTATTCATAGGGTTCCCAAGGCTGTCAATCTTGATGGGAAGAGAAAGCAGAGTGGCTGGTAGATTTGAACTGCTGGCTCTGGTTAGCAGTTCAACTCGTAACCCACTACACTCCCAGGGCCCTTTTCTTAGGGTGATTGTAAGGATGACATAGATAGGGCACTTAGAACAGTGCCTGGCACAGAGCAACCATCCAAGAATTTCTAGGATCCTTGTTTTTTATTGTTGTTGTTTGAGATATCCTAGAGAGTCTAGTGGGAAATTTGATACGGAAGAAGACGATGAAAGCTCTCCAGGCTTCTCCTACTCCCATCTTATGTGCATGGTCCCCCATCCCATCTCGGAGACTTTGGACAAGTTGCATTCCCTCTCTAAGCCTCAGTTTCCCCATCTGTGAAATGGGATAGTAATATCCCAACATAGTTGTCATGAGAATGAATCGGGTGAAGGCATTAGATTTGAAAGCACAGTGCCAATTCAGGTGTGAGTCTTAAATCACCTCTCCCATTGCTGGGGTGTGTCTCTCTCCCCTTTCTCTCCAGTTCATAAAGAATGTCCCAGAAACCAACAAGTACGAAGGATGGCCGGAGCTCTTAGAGCTGGAGGGCTGCGTGCCTCGGAAGGTATTTTAGGGCCTGGGGCCTGAAAAAACTCCTGCCTGGCATAGGGGTCAGAGAGCCTGCGATTGCTGCAGGTTGGACTGGCTGAGAAGACGGCAGAAGAGAAGGATGTGGCTGTTGATGTTGGGGCACACTGTGACAAATATCCCCATCTTCAGAAACCATATCCTTTCACTGGACTCAGGTGTCCTGCCTGGAAGGTGAGTAGAGTAGTCAGAGTCCTTTTGGAATCAGCTGTCTGCTGGTTCCAAAGCACAGGCGTGTTTCCCAGCAAGGGCTGTTGTTGACTGTCGTCTCCAGGAAGGACTGCCTACACGGAAGCAAAATTAAATGTCATTTTTGCTGACTTTGAATGAATTTTCTGACTACTTGAGCTGCACTGTTTCTCCCTGGGACTGAATAGGTCTGAGACTCAGTTCGCTTGGGCCTCAGATTGGACAAGTCACTTATACCTTCAGTTAGGCATTTGGAAGGAGGCTGGGCTTCATACTGCTTTAGTTTAGGTGTGAAATAAACCTTTGGTGCCCAGCATCATGTGTCAGGTGTACGTAAACAGAAAGAGTCAGGGGACAGGATATGGAGAATGTTGTCACAACCTGCTGTTTGAGGGAAAGTTGGCAAAAATTGAAGTTGGAAAGCAGAGGAAAGGCAGAGAGCTGAGAAAGTCAGGCTGTGAGGAAGGGAAAACATCCTGGCTGCCTTAGCCTGTATTTCCTAGGAAGCCAGGCTTCAAGTGCAGGTACCTGATTCAGAAGGTCACAGTAGGGAACATGGGATAGGGAGTTGGCCACCGAGAGAGAGAAGGGAGGGCAGTCATGAAGGGGTTGCTATCAATCCAGCAGAGTCCCTGGTGGTATACACAGTTAACACATTCGGTTGCTAACCGGAAGCCTAAACATCTGTGTCCACCCAGGGGCACCTGGGCAGAAAGACAATCTACTTCTGAAAAACCAGCCCTTGCAAACCTATGGAATAGAGTTATCCATGGACACACACAAGGTCTCCACAAGTCAGCATCACTGACAGCATCTGAGATGATCATCATTCCATCGGCCACTGTGGGAAAGAACCTCCTCTGTACAAGAGTAAAGCCAACTGTTAACTGAAATGTTGGTAGTTCCAACCTACCCAGCAACTCTGTGGAATAAAGACTTAGTGATCTGCTCCTGTAAATATTGTTGTTGTTGTTGTTAAGTACCGTGGAGTCGATTCTGATTCATAGCGACCCTGTACAGGGTTTCTGAGGCTGTAAATCTTTACGTGAGCAGAAAGTCTCATCTTTCTCCCACGGAACAGCTGGTAGTTTCAAACTACCAACCTTGAGATTAACAGCCCGATTCATAACCAGTACGTTACCATCCCTAGAAAACACTATGGGGCAGGTCTGCTCTGTCACATGGGATCAGCATGAGTGGATGGCACCTACCACCACCACCATCATCAGGGTACCTGGAGCTTAGCCCCCCAGGGCAGCGTGAGGAGTCTGTGTAGAACATGTGTGCCTCAGAGAGACCTTGTACCAAAGAGACGAGGGAGCTGGAGTATTTACACATCAGTTCTCCTCAGTCATTTGCTGAGGGCAACTGGATGGGGTGACGTGGATTCTCAGACACTTCTTGCCATCCCTGTGTAGGGAAGAGTGTTCATCTCTGGCTTCCGAATGAACCCTCAGCCAAGAGATGGAGATACTGGTGGCTGGAAGACCACAGGAGCACATTTCATTGGTAAGGCCCAAGGGATGTGTTCGGAAGACGTTGCCTGAATTTCTGAGAGGGGCCCAGTTCTCAGGTCCTAAACAGAATCCAGGGAGGGAACCATAGGAGCAGAAATCATGGGTCCTGAAAAATGCATCCAGAAGATACCCTGCCCTTGGTTCAAATGCCCTATTCAGTATGATAGCAGAAGCCCTAGCACAATGGAATGAGGCTCAGAGTTTCCAGGCCTCCAACATGCAACGAGGGCCTGGGATGGAAAGGAGCCCAGTGTATGGGAACTTTCAATCCAGGGCAGGCTGGGCAACAGGCTGTAATTGCATTGGTAACAAACTTGATGCCCAAAGTCTGGTGGGATGTATGTTTGACTGAGGAAATCAGAAGAAGGTGCCGAGTCAGCCACCCTGCCAGTTCTATCATCCCCTTCCGCCTCCACCCACCCTAGATCACCTCTAAGGATACAAAGGAGTTTGCCTGGCAGCCCCAGATATCCACTTGTACTGACACCCATATCAACATGATGCTTGCACTAGCCACCCACTATGGGAAAGAAGGTGGCAGGAAGTTTCCATTTGGGGCTGTAAACATATATTGCTGAACTTTCCCTTTAAATGGAATTTATTTGCCATGGAGTCAACTCCAACTCCTGGAGGCCCCTTGTACGTCAGAGAGTTTTCAATGGATAATTTTTCAGAAGAAGATTGCCAGACCTTTTTATCAAGACGCCTCTGGAGAGACTCAAGTCTCCAACCTTTTTAGTTAACAGCCAAGTGCGTTAAGCATTTGCACCACCCAGAGACTAAGGAAGAACATTGTTAAGTGCTGTAGATGCAGTTCTGACATGTCTCAAGGCCACGGACAACAGAAACACTGCCGTGCGCCCAGTCACTCTGTTTGAGCCCATTGTTGCTGACACTATCAATCCATTTTGTTGAGGGTCTTCCTCTTTCTTGATGACCCTCTCGTTTACCAAGCATGATTCCTTCTCCAAGGAACGGTCCCTCCTAATAACCTGTCCAAAGTAAGATGAAGCCTTACCATCCTTACTTCTAAGGAGCGTTCTGGCTGTGTTTCTTCCATGGCAGATTTGTTTGTTCTCTTAGCAATTCATCGTATATTCACTATTCTGTGCCAAAATCAAAATTCAAATGCATCCATTTTCTTTGCTCATATGGAAGTTCAAGTTGAATCTGAAGGAAATTAAAAGGAGTTCATGAGAACCAAAGTATGACCTTGAGCATAGCCCAACAGAATTTAGAGACCATCTCAAAGAAAGATTTGACTCATTGAACAAGAAAGAACAACATATAATTAAGAGACACAGTAAAGACATTAAAATGAGCTCATGGCCAGAGTCAGGGTTAACCAGAGCATTCTGGGCATCTGGTTGGAAGAGAAGACAGATGAAATTTCTAGAAGCTACATTTCTTTTCAACTTTAAAAATGAGTGAGAGACTGCTGATTGGATGAATCAGTGAGTTGTGGGAAGGCCCTCACAGAGACCCTAGAGCTTGTAAAGGTCCCTGGTGGGACTCCTCTAACAGCTTTTGCTTCTATTAGTCAGATGCTTACCGTTTGTTAGAGAACTGCCCTTGGGCAACTCAGAAAGAAGATTAACCATGAAGTGCAGGGAGTTTATACCTCTACCCCAGGAAAGCTCTTAGCTACGGGCTGAGTAGTGGTGGACGGAAGGAACCAGCTCCACTAGAGGAAGCACAACCATGAGGCATGACCCACACTCCAGATCACTGTGGATCAGACTGAAGCTGGGACTTTGTCTGAAATTGTCCCTTTGCTTGGCAGCCTCTTCTTCCTCATCATGCTCCCCACTGGAGCTGTTGTTCCATACCATCAAGTCTGTTCTGACACCAGCAACCCCACACAAAACAAAACAGAACACTGCCTGGTCCTGTGTCATCCTCACAATTGTTAAGTTTGAGCTTATTGCAGCCGCTGGGTCATTGCATCTCATTGGGGGGTCTTCCTCTTTTTTGTTGACTCTCCACTGTACCGAGCATGATGTCCTTCTCCAGGGACTGGTCCATCCTGACAACATGTTGAAGGTTCAGAGATAAAGTCTCACCATTATTGCTTCTAAGGAGCAATCCTGCCATACTTCTTTCAAAACAGATTGGTCTATTCTTCTGGAAGGCGATGGTACTTTCAATATTCTTCACCAACACCATAAGTCAAATGAATCCCTTAATAAACCATAATCATCTCAAAGTTGGTTTCTGGGGGCTCTGTTCTCAGAACCAAATCAGCTGGATTAGGACTAAGTCTGGGGTCTGGGGTCTGGGCTGGGAGACGTGGGCACTGGTCTGCAGGAATTGTTGGTCACAGCAAAGGGTCAGTTCTCAATGAGGAGAAGCTCCCAGTGGATCTGACAAAAAATGCTCCGAGGGGTCACCCAGACTGTCCATCACATTCTATCTTGCCTGCCCTCTACATATGACAAGATGACAGTACTCACGTGGCACATCCTCCACGTGATCCAGCCACACTGGGCCTTGCTGGGTGATGTCACAGAAATGCAAACAGCTGTCAGACTCTCAGCATTTTAGCCAGGACATTGTGGCCACTGTCTGGACCCCAGGTCAGCTCTGATTAGGGCAGTTCCAAGAGTCCCATTTTTTGAATCACTTTCCTCTTTAACTTGCTGTTTTAGGACGTGTCCCTGAGTGGTGCAAACAGTAATACCTTCAGCTGCTAACTGAAAGGTTGGAGGTTTGAATCCACCAAGCATCCTGGAGGAAGAAAGTTCTAAAGATCTACATCTGAAAATCCAGCCACTGAAAACCCCACAGGGCCCAGTTCTATTCTGACACACATGGGGTCACCCTGAATCACAGTCAAGTTTATGCAGCTGGTTACTGTCTATGTTTCAGGAAATAGGAAGGCTGGGGAGACAGTGGAAACTAGAAATTGGCCCTGTTTGTCATCTGGGGGCAGGAGGACACAGATAGAGGCAATACAAGGGGACTTCAAAATCGTCATGGAAAAATCCCATGATCTTTTCATTCCATTTCCCCATGAAGAACCTGATCTGAGCTACATTGAGGGAAGGATGTGCAGGACCCCTACCTCAGCTGTGGGGATCAGGGAAGGCAGGCTCCCACACTGAGCCTTCAGAACATAGGATGGGGAGCAGTGTAGTAGGCAAGGGAATGACACCCCAAAACCTTGGAATATAGAAAGCCTGAAGGGGGAGAGGGCTGAGTGGATAGGGGTCTTGTGAGCTGGGCAGCGGAGCTTGGACTTACTTTATCCCAGGGCACTGGTAGTGAGATGGATGAAAGG